TAAAAGAAGAAAAACAGTCTGTTCCAGACCACATAACTACGTGAAGATCAGTGCTGGCACATAAGAGAGCACACGAATTTTTTTGGTGCAACAGCAAGGTTGTCATAGGGTTGTACAGTAGTTGTGGGCATTTGGCATTTTTATTTGGGACAGAAGGGATTCTATTTGCTTCACTTCCTTCCCAAAGAGCACTATTTATGTATTTATAATCTTTGTTTATAATCTTTGTTTTCCATAAAATAATTCCAAACATGTATCAAATTAACTATTATACATGTTATGATGAGCAAGCATCGGTAACTTATTCACGTGACTTATCATTCAATAACATTTATTTTCCCTTAATAATTTTAGAAAATCATTTAAAAAGCCTCTTTGAGAGACTTGAGCCTGAAATAATTTGAAATAACCCACTGATGAAAGCACTAGGAGAAGTGGAGCATGTTTCCTTACTTAGAATTTAAAGCTTAGTTGGTGTCAGGTAAAGCCAGTCTCCCAGATACATGGATAATCAGAGTTTGTCTGAACATATGGGAGAAAATGTTGCTGTAAATATTTCCTTTGGGTTGTGTTTTTCAACAGCCTGCCTTGTTTTTAATAATTAAGTTATTTAATCATACTTCTACTTCCATGAGGTTAGATCATAATAAGCCTGCTAATACCTGCTTGTAAAAAGACATATAGAATCAGACACTCCTCTGTCTTTCTCAGTACCTCTTATATCAGTGTGTTGGTCAAACCTGAGCATTACCTAAATGAGTTTCACATGCTGAGAAAATGAGAAATATGGATTTGCAGTTTGTAGCCCAGGGCAACGTGCACCAGTCTGCATCTGAGCCATGAATAAATTTTATTTTGTTGTTGCTATTATTATTATTATTGTTATTGTTGTTATGTTCTTTATGTCAAAGTCTCCCATTGCTGCAGGAATACAAACACAAATAGGAAACATCTCTTGCTTACCTCTTTGTGGGTCCTCAAAGCAAGTCTGCTATTATTGTAACACCAAAGGGAAAGGTTGGAGTGTTGAACCCTGGTCCTCTCCCAGCCTCTCTACACAGGGCACCACTACCCTGGAGTAAACCAACACCACAAACTGTGCCACTCGCTTTCACTCCAGAGAATAACACCAAATGCTTAGTTGGACGGGGATGCTGGAGATCATCTACTTCTGATCAGAGAAATGTCAGGTTTGGGGGAGCAGCTGAGCAGGAGTTTTGTTAAGTCAGTGTTTTCCAGCTACCTTGGCAGCCTCAGCCTACTGGTGAATATGGGAAGGCCTTTAGACAGAGAATACTCTTTGAGTATCTCTTGTATTAGAACTCAATGTCAAAATCAAGCCAACAACAAACAATTAGGATCGTGTTTCATTTCAGTAGGTAGCAAACTATATGCACCTGCAATTTCTTCCTCCTTTTCCTAATTTCCTCTCTTTATCTCTCCTTCACCCACTATTTATGCACCATTTTCCCCATCCTACATCAGCACAGCACCTCATGGCAAATCAGCACCTGTTTTTTCTCTGGAAAAAGATCACCCTCATTGCCATCCTAGCACTAAACCTGGTATTTTGAACTACAATAGAAGTTCACCACAAGGCACCAGTAACCTCGATTACCATGTGCCTTTCTGAAGCTTCAAGTCGATGCAAAGGACTTTAATTCCTGTTATTCTTCTAAATTCACGTTTACAGCTCCCATCCCCTGCAGGGCTGTGAAAGGGTTCCACAAACACCCTTTAAAGGGTTCAGCTCAAGCTCACAGAGGCTCACAGTGTTTAAAACACACTGAGCAATGCCAGCCCTCTTTCTTACTAATGCCTCATCACTGATAGTTTCTGGCAGAGATGAAGAGTGCTGCCAAAAGTACAGGGACTAATAAAGTGATGTGTGTAGGAAGGAGGTAAATGAGTGACAGAGAATTAAGGAAAAATATTTTCTGCTTGTTGCCTGTACCGAGCTCACAAAGCAGAAAACAATTTAACTCCAAAGCAGCTCTAAAGCTCCATTAATCCAAGAAATCTGCTGCCTAAATAACAACTGTTTCCCGTTGGGATTTTTTGTTGAGTTTACTGTGTTGGATACATTCCTATGTATCTTCTCTTACAGCGTAGTGCTATTTCATTTTTAAATATTACTTGTCACACAGAATTTGTGAGTAAAAGCTGGAAATCTGGGTGAGAAGAAGGGAAAATCTGTAATGTGAAGCATTTTACCTTTAAAAACGAGATTATGTGACAGTTAGTCACCTCACAGCTTGTCTGTTTGAATAACTTCCAACCAAAGGGCAAGAATGCTGTATCATCCCAGGCTGCAGTGAAGTTTAGGGAACAACTGCTTTAACCTGAGCTGAAAACAAAAAAAAGAAAGAGGAGGAACTCTCCTGGTCTGAGGATCTGAGCTGAGGAGTGGGGATTCCCTCTTTTTGCCCTGTGCACATGCACAGTTTTGAAAGCCTTAAGTGGCAGGGTGAGTCCTGGCCTGAAATCCCCAGTTCTAGAAAGTTTCAAAGACTTCTTTTCTTCTGATCGTGACAGAGGGAGAGAGAGAGCTGGAAAAATCTAAATGCAGAGGTATCTCATCTGGGTCAGTGACACAAAAACAGCCTCACAGATCTGTTGGTCTGAGGGCCAACATTAAATTAATTGTTTCATAAGCAAATTCACTTCATCCATTTCACTTATTCTGTACACAGTCATTCCAGAAGAATTCCCTGCAGCATTCCCATCGACCATTCCCACCACTGTACAGACCAGGGTATGTTTTGGGCATTGCACTGATTCAGCCAGGCAGGAATTAAAGCTTTCCAGGCTGACTCAGTGCCTGATCCCAAAGATTCACAGATACCTTTACATTAAAATATCCCAGTGGGAATCCAGAGCCAGATCTAATGACCTCAGGTGAAAATAAAGAAAGCTGTTACATTCAGACCATTATTGTTCATGCTGCTTTGTGAATTTATTTCTTTAAATTTTCCACTTGTGCTCCTGCCAAGAGAGATCTATTAGACAGAAAGCAGCAAGAGTAAAACTTTATCATTTTGTTTCAAACTATAAAATAATTTACATCACATATTTTACTTACTTTTGTCTTTTTGTTTTTGTTTTTTTTTTTTTTTGAAACCACAAACATTCCAGCATCACACTGTAGGAATAAGAATAACAATAGAAAGCATAACCTTTTGCATAGTATTAAATGAACAGACAGAGTAAGTTCTTTATTTACAATTATTGTCTAGATAAAAAAATTCATAAAAACAGATGAATGAACATATATTAATAACCCCTAGTGGGATGGATTGCCAATGTACCACTGTATTGTTGTCCACAAATCTCATGCTGCTAAGTACAGTACGTAGAGAGCGAGCATTTATATATTGCAGGGAATTTTAACAAACTGATCATTTTGGTTTTTGATCCATTGTTCCCATCACAGAGAGGTCAAGCAATAAAAGAAAGGAATTGTGATGCACGACTTGTAGTTGAAAGGTCATAGCTATTCTGCTTTTAAAAAAAAAAAAAAAAAAAAAGTCTATCATTTATCATATACATAAAGCACAGTCTCTGCTCACAAAAGCCCAAGTTTTCTATGCATCTCAGTTTATATATGTTTTACTATATATACACAGAATGCAGTGTACATTTTCTTAACAGTTTTCAAGTCTGCAAATGGTACCTTAGGGAGGGGTACTCCTACAGGAAAATTTAAAAAAACCCAACAAAAAAAAAAAAAAAAAAAAAAAAAAAAAAAAAAAAAAAAAAAAAAAAAAAAAAAAAAAAAAAAAAAAAAAAAAAAAAAAAAAAAAAAAAAAAAAAAAAAAAAAAAAAAAAAAAAAAAAAAAAAAAAAAAAAAAAAAAAAAAAAAAAAAAAAAAAAAAAAGAAAAAAGAAAAAAAAGAAGAAAAAAAAGAAAAAATATGAAGAGTGTTCGAAAACAAAAAGGCAAACAGTCAGTGTTAAGATGTTGAAAATAAATTGTTCCAGTATTAATAGCTTCTGTAGATGATCCAAGTCCAAAGCTAGAGGCTTCCCTGTAAATAGGTAACACTTTTTTCTTCTGAATATGATATCCCAAGTAGGCCATAGAAACCCAATACATGTTGTACAAAGGTTAATCACCGTATTTACAAAGCGAACAATCCTGACTGAGTTTTAATCACTTCGTTGCTAGGAGTCAGCTAAAATAATTATGTTTTCATGCTAGCTTGATACTGGTAAGAAAAGGGTCACACTATCTGTTGAACAGAGAGCTGAAAGTGCCTTCAGAGGCCTGTTCTGTTGGTCAGTGAGAAGTTTGGATCAGAGAGCGAACTACGATTGAGCCAAAAACATTCAAGAGCTTCTACTCAAAAGTCCGAAGCTGGCAAGTCAAGCTGATTAGAACTTTACCTGGCTGATAAGTCTTGATGCACCCTGAAAACATCTGATCAGTTCAGTCTGCAGTTTGGCCATGAGTCTAATCTTGGTTTGGAGCGTTCTGGCTTGGTTTAGTTCTCGTGACTGCAGAGATGCACCCCTTTACGAGCCAACTTTAAGACAAACCAGTCATAATACCTCAACAAATCGCTTTATCAAGCTAGTTTGAGAGTGTTCTCCAACACACCTGGCAGAATCAACTGTGTAATTCCAAATGTCTTTTGCACTGTACAGTTATGGAAAAGATCGTATGCTGAAAAGTCTCCAAGCAAACTTTATATTAAATACAAAAATTATTTATGAAAAATCTGTGATCCACAAAGTGCTTAGCATTCAAGTGGTTGACATAGCAATTATATAAGCTCATAAATTTTAAGCTTTCAGGGCTGTTACCATCTTGAAAAATATTTTCCACCTCCCGTACTGCAGGTTTGCAAAAACAGCTTTCTTTGTAGAAAGCTCAAGGTAAAATAATGTATTATTGTGTTACAGTATACCTTGTGACTACAGGAAGACAAGCTTGGTTAAAAAGAAAAAAAAAAAATCACACAAAGCACATCTCAATACACAATTAATAAAGATTCATTCAGTCCTAATAGTGCAGAAATTATATTTTTCTTTCAAAAAAAAAAAAAAATCAAAGCAACAACCTACAGTGATTCTCATCCAAAATGCCAACAGCCCATACTTTGCAAGTAATAAGGAAACAAATGCCTAAATTACTAATTGAAAAGGATTAAACACCGTATATCACAGTATTTTAACATCCGTTTTATCTCCGTATAGACAAACCAAATACAACTTATTGTAAATTATAAACTCATTTAATATCTCCCTAAAGATGCTTTTGGAAGCCATCGCTGCATGTTTAAAGAATGAAATAGCCTCCATTATCAGATGTTGCACCAAAACAAATTCAAGCAGAATATCAGAGGGACCAGAAAAAAAAAAAAAAAGGGGGGGTGGGGGGGAAAGAGAGAACCTGATCAGTTTGATTTTTATTTGAAACAAAGGAAGCCTGGTTTACCTCCCTGTATATAGGATCACAATGCTACATCCAATGTGTTATATTTTGGCTTCTTTTGTTATTTACTAGCAGTATCTACATTATTTAACAAAAAAAAAAAAAAAGGAATAAAATAAATAAAATCAGGCAGAAATCAGAACACGGTTGTAATAAAATATCCAGGGTGCGATATTACAGACATTTTCAATGAGCTGAGCTGAGCCATTTTTATACTACTTCGGCAGGAAGTGCTTTCTTAACCCTACAAATAGTTAAGGATATTTATCTACAGGTTTGTAAACAAATTACATTCTTTTTTAGGACATAAATAAGTTAAAATAGTCAGAGCAATTTGAGCAGAAACAAGGCAACATGCCAACAAAGAAACTTTATATATATATAACTATATATATATAGATAGATATATACATATATATAATTAATTATCTATATACTTATATGTATATATCTCTATATATAGTCTCATAAATGTTTAAGTTCCTCTGTCCAACTGGTGCAAATCTACTGTGCAAGTTAAGCTTCGCAACTTCAAAAAAGTTATTTAAATTAATCTATACAATTGAGTCCATGCCACACAAGCATTTCAAAAAACTCACAGACCAGTGAATTGGATAAATAGCCTCAGAAAGAAGTCCTCTGCAGTTCCTGCTTAAGGAGGAAAAAAAAAAAAAAACAAAACAAAAACAAAACCTAAAAGGAAATAAAAACAAACAAAAAGAGAGAAAGAAGGGCCAGCAGTGTACAGTACATTCATGCAGGAGGAATTTTTTTTTTTTGTTTGTTTTTGTTTTTCTGAAAGGGAACAGGGGGGTATGTAAATCAGCCATTCATTCTTTCCCCAAAACCATTGTGATCAACGATTCATTCACTTGTCTCAGAGTGAATAAGAGTTCAAACAGCTTTTCAGCCAGCAGTGTTTTTAATATATATATTTATATATTTCGGTTGCTGGGGGAGGGGGGGTTATTTTATTTAATTTTAATCTTTTTTTTTCTTTATGGTTTTTTTTTTTTTTTTTTGCAGTGACCTTTTCAGCTAAAGTGATGTCTCCAGGCTATGTATTGGGCTTCCTGGACTAGAAGAGGTAGCTGATTTACTTGTATCAGTTGTAAGATTTATTCCACTGTCGATAGCACTGTTGTTCTTGTTCAGTGAAGACGGTGGACTCGAGTTTTTCTTGAGAGCAGGGTCTTCTTCTAGGTCTGTGTCATCAATGAGTGGGATGTGGGGCTGGGAATCTTCTATCCTAAATTCAGGATGAGTCATAAAGTTGTGAATAGAGGTTCTAGATTCTGGTTTTTCTAAACCTTCATAGAGAGAGCTACGGAATGCCTTCACGACGCGGATCTGGGGGGGAGAAAAAGAGAGGGGTGTCAGAGGGGGAACCTGCCCAGGGCCAGCACCGTGTTAGAGAATCAATACTTTGTGAAAAATGTAGCACATGGTTAGGGGCAGTGCAGGCAGCTGAAGTCCAAAGTCTCTGGATGTTATATGCATAAACGAGTGGCTCAAGTTATGTGCATTTTGCATATCTGTACCAACTGCAATATTAAAATAAATCAGGTTTAAAGCCATCAAAGAACTGATGGGAAGTACTGGTTAAAGAAAGCCAAGGTCCACTCGTGTGGTACATCCCTAGTAAAAGACAAGCCATGTTAATTGTAATGCAAATGTAAAAACCATGCATGTTGATAGTTTTTTGCAGTGAGTAAGTAGAAAGGCTTTTTTTTTTTTTTTTTTTTTGTTTTAATTAAAAAAGTCTCTCATTTGGTATCGTTAAAAAAAAAAAAACCGTTACACATAACATATCACACTTCACAAACAGAAAAGCACAGAACACGGACACAGTCGGATGGGTACGGATGAGACACACACAGGAGCCAAAGTGTAAAAACTTATAAGTAATATCAATGTTTGAAAGCAAAATCTAAATGGATGCAGCCAAGAGCACAAGAAGCCAAGCAGACAAAGTACTAAGCGTAATCATGCTATCACAGGGGAGGGGAGAAAAAAAAAATAAATAAAATCACAGTTACCACATGAACAGAGATAACTTGCACACAACAACTACACTTGGAAGCCTGGATAATGTGAACATAGTATCGTTGAACCAACTTTTATTTTTCCTTCATGCATATGTGAGGTAAACACTCGAGTATAGACCCACTGTTCTAGCCATTTAGCTTTCGAATAAATATCAAAACATGGAATAAAATGATGTATTGATTGTTGGGTTGAATTGAATTGTTAACAGCAAGTTTGGTTGTTGGTTTGTTTGTTTGTTTGTTTGTTTTTTCATTTCTGTGTCTCAGTTGTAAAAGTGTCAAGTTAAATGTTGGAAGCGACACAATTGATGCCATTTATGCAGTCTTTAAACTAGGTCAGCTGACTTATGCCGGGGCAATCTAATGCCACTAAGCACCTGACAGTAAGAACACAGGTGAAAATAAATCCAGACTCAGCCCGTGAGGCTGTCAGGGATGGTGCAAAGTGCTTTCCCAGTAGGAAATGAGAGGAACAGAGTGAGGAGAGGGGGACACTAAGTCCTCTGTGGGTGGGCAAAGGGAGGGATGCTGTCTGTGTGTCCCAGTGACCTACCAGTTCTGAAAAGAAGTGAAGGTTTGTGCTGGTGGACTGCTGAAAAAAACATAATTTTTGGAAGGGGGTGGAGGGGCAGAGAGGAAAAAACAGGATGGCAAAACGTGATCTGTTGGCAAATGTTTCATGGCTAAGTATGAGTTCTATCCTTCTACTTCCATGTAGTCCATGAGCAGATTTTTAGCATTTCTTAGAGGGGACACTAAAACACAGGCAGAGGCAGAAAAGGTGCAAAGCAGGTATTGTGAAAGCTTCTCCACACACATTTGAAATGGTTTGGCGGTTGGCATGTGTAACTTTTTACATGTAAATATGCTGCTCGTTTGGGCCTAATACACCCACTAATTAGGAAAGCTTTAATTCCTCTTTTAACTGGCAGACTGCCTTTTAGTCACGGCATGGGGTCACAGTGTTACAGCTGGGAGGGGGGTCCAGCTGATCCTGTGGTTGGAGTTGGCCAAGTTGAACAGAATTTCAGCACATTTGAGAAAGAGGCCAACTTGTATTTTTCTCTCTTTGAACTCGGTCTCTAAATCTAGATATTCCTTATTTAAAAATCTTTAAAGCAGAAGCCATGCCACCTTTAGATGCACGGTCCTTGGTCAGTCCAAACACTCTCCCTTCTCTTTAGACATCCACTTGGTAACAGCAGGGCACGGTACAGAAAGTAGTTCATGTGACTGCTTATGCTCCAGATAAGAGGATTGGAGCGGTACAGAACGGCTTATCCAGATCTTGGGACACCACAAGATTTTAGGCTGGCAGAGGTGCAAGAGGGAAGGTTGTCTTGCACAGTAATAAACAAATCAACTCTGAGTCAATTTTACCTGCTGCAATCACCCAGTGCACCTAAGAGAGCACCTGGAATTACAGATCAGGGCTTGAATCAGAGCTGAATCTCGGTTGTTCTGTGCCACGTGAGGGCTCTGCATAGTGGGAGCAAACAGACTGGGATAAGAGATTCATCTGCATGACTAAAGACAGTATTTGAACTCAGGGAGAAAAGGTGACACGCTAATTCCTTCATTATCCATGCCTTTCTATCTCCTATTTTAAAGTGCAAAGTAATTAGTCTAAATGATGAGAAAAATAGTATGATTGTTGAGGCAGTTTTAAAAACTTGTCACTGTACTGCCCTATTTTAAATCAGGAAACTTTTAGTAACATGTTTACTTTATACTATGGACTGAGAAGGTGACATATTATTTCTGCTGTCTAAACGTAAACACCAGTCCATCTCTTTCAGGTGCAGCTGAATGCCAGAGCTTTTCCATTAACAAAATTATTTCATTCTCTTGAATACAGCCACTTCTTACTGCAAAGACACAGGCTCTACTTGCCAGCTGGATTCTTTCTAGTGAAGTTAAATTTTTACCTACATAAAAAGGTTTGATATTATGCTTGAACAGATCCAGCAGAATCCAAGGAAAGCACAGCTTTTCTTCAAGCTGCACGGTGTCTTTAAGTCTCTGTGTTCAGTAAGGGAGGAACCAAATCTAATTTGTGAGGCTCCACGTTCTGCAGTAGAGAAAGCAGCTATATTGCTCTTAATACCAAAATTTGGCATCTAGTTTGTATTTAACACCAAGTCTTTAGTCACTCTGGGTAGCTGACTGACACCTTACATAGCTGAGGGAAAACTGTAGATTTTGGTAGTACTTAAAGGCAGTTATGAAACCGTGCCTGCCCTGCCCTGAATTTGGAACTAATGGGCCATTGTAAGAAAACACCCAACTCACGTGTTTTGCTTCGATGTGTCTGAAGATGGAACTGCAGAATGTGCCACCAGCCAGCAGTCCCTCACTTTGTGTGAAGATCTGTGGCAAAATTTTGGCCTGGACTGTTTGAGTCCTGCAGGAACATTTAGGTGTTCCTAGAATAAGTTCTATCTGTTCACATGGATTTTTACTGGAAATAGTAGCTTAGAACTGGTTCAGATCCGCTGATACATAAGATAATTAGTCTGAACACTATGGTAATGTAAGGGCCAAACAATTAGACTTCTAAATATTTTTCCTCACTGGGGAGCTGTAGAATCCCAGCTTCTTCTCTTAAAATTTCTCTGCAGTTTCAGAGATGCATATTTGTTTTCCATTAATTTTTTGTTTAAGAAGAAACTCCTTCCTCAACTTTAAATGCTGCATATTTAGCTTGGCATCTAGAAGAAAAAAAAAATTATTTTTTTTCAGTGTCACACCTCACTGAGTGACAGAATTTCTGCATGACAACATAATTCAAAATCTCATTCCTAGTCCGTCCCCCAGTCTATCAAATTATTGTTTACAGGGACAAAGCTTACTTCTTCTGTTTGTGGAAATGAAAGTAGAAGGTTTGTTGGCATATAAAGGTGGCATATTAATTTCTGACTCATCGTTTAATATCTAACACTACCGTATTTAATCTTCCTCTTGTATGTAATGTTACTCCCATATTTAAGAACTGAAAAAAATATTATTTACCCAGAGTTGCATGGCCCAACAGCAACAAATTCTTTTCATACGTGCTTGAGTTCAAGATTTGAAATAATACCTAGTGGAAAATGTTTATGGTTTCTGCTGAAACAAAGCCCACATAATTTTTTTTTTTTCTTTTTGAAGATAAGATAAAACAAAGCAGATGAGCTTGATCAAATGTTCTTTTTTTATGGCTGTACAGCATGTAAAAGCAGGGACATACCCATGATGGATAGAACCCAGGGAGTGTTGGTTTAGTATGAACTATGTAGAGTTCATGTAAATGGTATCTCTTCATGAGACTGACAATGCCAAGGGCAGACAAACAGTGTGATACAGCTCCCTTTTCTCACAGTAATGGAGACAACAGAAAAAAAAAAATGAACTGCTTTTAAACAAAAGACTGTGGGGACAACACTTCAGGACATTTTTGACACTGCTATAAGTTTCCACTTCTTTCTTCTCTGGAGCTGTAATAGAACAAACTCTTCCGTTTCATCCCACCTTGAAAGTCAGATTTATTATACTGCATCAGGCAAGGAAAAACAAAAACAACAACAACAACAACAAAAAAAAAAAGAAATAGAATTTTAGATACTACAAATTTTTCCCTTTAGAAGAAAAAAAGATGATATTCAGAATCTCAGTCCTAAGTACAACCAACTAGGCAAAATATACCAAGCCTGTTAAGCATCAACAGATATATTATGGTTGGTAGTGTGTGGGCTTATACTCGAATGTTTACCTGGCTTCATATAAGCCAAGTATCTTGAGTTTGGTTCACATTCATTTCAGGCTCAAGGTTAAAGACTCACAACCTCTTTTTATTTCACTCTCTCCTGCTGAACCCTTTTGTCCAATGTTCTCTAGCCCTCTGGGAAAACAAACACATTTAATATTCAGACAGTAGAGAGTAGGGCACTGCAACAGCAAATAAATTCAATACTGAAAGATCAGTAAGGTGATTAGTATAAAATTGTAAACAAGAGGTCAATTTTGTAAAGAGATGCCAACTCTTATGTGTAACTGATACTATTCTATATCAAGGCTACAGCTACGCAAAGGTAAAGGAGTCTGGTCAAGTACTATTGCAAATGTAAAGCTCTGAACTAGAAAACATCTTCAATGTGTTTGTATTTGTTTGAGCCCTCCCAGTTTTAGGTGAGTAAAATCAGATTAGGTATCCACAGGAGGAGGTACTGCATGTATTGGAGTCACCTGTAAGGGTTGTGGCCAGTTTGTTCTGGGTAGTTTGATGCAGAAGTTGAGCAAATTCAAATAGGAAGTAAAAAAAAA